TCTGTCCCCTCACTCTTGCTGGTTTGTGGCCAGAAAGCCTAGTCTTAAGAAGAGAGACTGGGCAAAGGTCAATCTAAGACCTGGAACCTTGGGGTCCAGGAAATCATCACTTTGGTGCTGAGGCCCCTGATGAATGATGCTGACCACTTATGACAGGTACAATTACACACCTAATCCAACAGTATGACTAACTCACATTCGGGGTTTTCTTGCTTGTTGTTTTATGTCTGTATGTCATACACAGCCAGAGCTGGTAAGAAATTACCATTTGTTAAACACGGTGCTTTGCTATCGAGGTCAGATGGTACAGATAATCTGGGCTACTTAGCCAATCCTTTGCCAGCTGAACCTCACCCATCATATCCAGTCTTAGGAGTTTCACCAGGCAGGTGAGAGAGATTCAGATGTGGAGGCCGAGCTCCTGAGCATGCATCAAGGGAAACAGATTAAAAATTGAAAGAGGAAACTCAACAGCTGGTGTCTAGTATTGGTTTGGTCCCACTGTTGCAGGGATAAACATCTGGATAGCTCAAGACAAACACAGCTTTGGACTCAGAACAGGCATGGCAGCTTCATCCTGTGTGCTGCTATTTCAGCGTAAAACCTGTGTTCTGTGTAGAGCGAGGCTCAAACAACTCTTAGACACTGCTCTGTGCTGGAGGGATCCCTCGCTTCAAGGGGACCCAACACCCTGGCAGGACTTTCTCTAAGGAGACCAGCTGACACTGTAGGTAGCTCTAGGCAAAAAGGCTTCGGCTGAACCTGCTGCTGCCTGTGAGAGTTAAGGGGATCGGGACTCAGGTCCTCGGACCTAGTTCACTAAAACAGTCATGTTAGATTGTCACAGCCAGAGTAACATCTGGTAGTGACTTAGAAGAGGCACTGTCCTTATGTGGGAACACTAAGTTGAGTGTCTGGAGTCCATGTGGCTACCCAGCTGCCACTGACAGCTGCTTTGCTTCCTGTCCTTGAGGCTTGATTTTGCTCAGGGTGAGGGAGAGATGGATTCTTTGGTAAGATTAGCTGGCTTCCTTTTGGTGAGAGCCGGTTTAATGATTAGTTTTGTCAACTTGACACAACATCGAATCACATGAGCAGAGTGTCAGTGAAGGACTGTCTACTTTGATTTGGCCTGTGGATATGTCTGTGGGGATTGCCTTGGCTAAATGATATGGGAAGACTTGCCCACAGTGGGCAATACCATTCCCTAGGCAGGGGTTCCCAAAATGCCTAAAAGGAGAAACCGAATGTAAGGAAGCAAATAGGTGGGCAGGGTGCATTTGTTGATTTTCTAGTCTTGCCTGTGGATGTGAACAGCTCCCTCAAGTTCCTGCCACCTAGACTTTCCCACATGGTGAACTGCCACATAAAATTATGAGCTAAACCCTTCCCCCACTAAGTTGTCAGGATGTTTTCTCATATCAACGGGAATGAAACTGGAGCACTGCAATCCAACAGCTATGCAGGATATGTGGCTGAACAGAATGGCCGGGTCCATGCCTTTCCACCTGAAGCAAAGGAACAGGGCTGACGCAGTGGCTACAGGGCTCACAGCATGCTCTCCATAGTATTACTGATGGTACATGGAGAGTAGGGCAGTGGTCTGGGGAGTGGTTGGCCCTACGTACCCCAGTTGTATACTACCAGGCATATCAACCTCCCTGACCTCTTGACCTGTTTTCACTTCAGGCCTTGTCTTTTCGTCTTGTGCTATCACTGGAGTAAGCTCACTGCTCTAAGTTGTCTCAGGATCTCTCAGCTCATTTCCCCCTCTGAGTAGCCACCCCCTCCCAGGTGGCTATACAACACCAGCGTTAGCACCCCACTCTCAAAATATCCTTGTCCTACAAAGTTTGCCCATACTTGTTAACTTGGTATTTTCAGGTCAGACAAGCTGTCTCCAGTCAACCTTCCAGGCTTTCTTTGAGCCCAATGCCTTGGTGATCTTGGCCCTCAGCCTCATTGGACAACCCTCCAGAGTCCCATAATGCACTATGTTCTGCTCCCACAGCTTGCTTTCCTTAGTGACGTTATTTCCTCCCTTTAGCTTTTAAGATGTTAATTCACTTTTGAAAAGGGAAACTAAATGGGGGTGTCTAGTTAACCCTCAAATGTGTTCTGCCTTAGGCACTCTTCCTAGCTGACCCACCAAGAATTAATTCCCTTTTTCCCTCTGATCAGATTTTGTTTGTTTGTTTGTTTGTTTGTTTGTTTCTAACACAGCATATTGCTATGTAACACAGGCTTTCCTTGAGCCCATGATTCTCCTGCCTCAGCCTCTCAAGTCCTGGAAGGCACCACTACATTTAGCCTTTTTCTATTTTTTTGTTTTGTTTTGTTTTTTTGGTACTTGTCACAAGAACTCTACCACCAATCAGTGCCTGTGTTTGTTTCCCACCTTGTCAGACTTTTCCAGAGCTGCTGCTAGGACCCCTCAGCTCATTCTGATGAAGCACACTGGCACTGGCTGTAATGGCCCTGGACAGGAGCAGCTATAACATCCATATCAACCTGCCACACCGTGTCTGCCATGGCCAGAGGAATGTATGTTCTCCTGGTAAACCATCGGGTGCTGTAGGAGTTCACTGAGAATGGACTGTCTCAGACTCAAGCATGTTTGTCTCAAAGTGTCCTCAAGACCCCTCTTCTGTGATAAGCTGCCAGCCCCCAAACTCTGTGACAAAGAGGGTAAAACAGGCCAAGAGTGAAAGCATTGTAGTCTTGAGAACAACTAAAAGGGAAACTACGGTTCACCCCATGATATTAAAATGCCTGCAATGGGAAAGAGAAGCTGGAAGTTCAGCAATGGGAAGTTCAGCCATTTGGGAATTCTAACTGAATGTCTCAACTTGCCCAGTCCATCTCTGTCGCATGCTTTGTATCCTGGTCTAATGGCCTTTTGATATCTACACACTGCATGCTATTTCTCCTATACTTTAGCTTGCTATATATTTAAAAACTCACTCATTCAAAGTTAAAAGTATGACTTTCATAGATCATTCTCATGACCACGCAGAACTGCTACCATATGTGTGGAAGGCATGACCTCACTCTTGTCACCCAAGCATACCCAGACCCAGAACCCAACCTAAGTTGTCTCTAGAGCAAAATCTACTCATAACCCAATGTGAAAGAGCGACAGAAATCTTCCTTACAGAATGAGGAGAGGAAATAGATGACAGTGGTCCCCACATCCAGCAGCAAACCACCCGCAGGTCCTCTCCTGGTTCACAAAGGACCCAGCAGTCCCCCTGTCTTCTTTCTTGTAGCAACTGACCTTGTCAGCTTCTCTGTCCTCCAAAGGGTCAGCTTCCATTCCCTCTCTTTTGAACTTAGCCTTCAGCTAACACCAACTTGACTTTATGGCCTGAGCTCATAGAAGGTCCCTTGGATCCCAGGGTCCTGTTCTCCTACCAGATTATTTGGCTAGTCCCTTGAGTTCCTTAAGCAGGGCACACAGTGTCTTCCCCTCTCCCTCCAGTGGTGCGTGAGGCATCTATCCCACACACTGCCAGAGAGGATTTGAGTAAGTGAGACTCTCATCACCTTCTTTACTTGAATTCATCCCCTCATTGGAGAAGCAGTTTCTGGGGAACCATGTGTAAAACCCCAAGTCCTTGCTTTATCTTTGATCCAATGGCAGATAAGGTCCCTACTCTTAACGGAACCCCCACTTCGAGCCCAGGAAGGGTGACCTGCACAAAACATGTGCCAGAGTCACTGGGATAAGTCACCCGAACACATCATCAGGCAACTCCTGACCCAGAGCAACCCAAGAAAGCCACCAGCCAGTGCTGCGATAAGAAAGGAGCCCACCTAGAGCAGGCAGAGGGTTGGCAGAAGTGGACAACAGTCCCCATCTGCCCAGTTCTTCCCTACTCTGCACTGAGACACTGGTAACTCCTACAACCTTCTATCCCCTGAAAAGTGATGGAGACATCACAATCCTGCTTATAACACACACACACATACAAACTACAATACACTCACTACATATATACTATAACACACACATACACACTATAATACACCCACCACATATATACTATGACACACACATACACACTACAATACACTCACCGCATATATACTATATCACACACACACTACAATACACTCACCGCATATATACTATATCACACACATACATACACACTATAATACACTCACCACATATATACTATGACACACACATACACACTACAATACACTCACCGCATATATACTATATCACACACACACATACACACTATAATACACTCACCACATGTATACCATGACACACACACACATACACACTATAATACACTCATCACATATACACTATGACACACACATACACACTACAATACACTCACCACATATATACTATGACACACACACATACACACTACAATACACTCACCACATATATACTGTATCACACACACATACAGGAGCTGCTCACAGTCTCCATATGAGCGCTGCAGGAGCTAGTTGACACAGTGCAGATGAAGATACTGCACCCAAGCAGACTGCTGGAGGACCGTAGTAACTTGCACAGGCCAACACCCTCCCTCTCCCTCTCCCTCCTGCTCTCTCTCAGACAGGGTGTGGTAAGGATAGAGAGACTCCTAGATCCTGGATTAACAAGCTCTAAACATATTTCTGGTTTGTGTTACTATGCCCCATCATTTATGCTGAGATAGTACAGGTATAGTGTTTGTATGCACATGTGTTTTTGTTCATGTATGTGTACATCTGTTTTACTGACAGAGACAGTTCAGTTCACCGCCAAGGCAGGTTGTGAAAGTATGATACTGGCTCACTTGCTGTAGATGCCCCCATACTATTATAGACTCGGACACGTGTAAGAGTACCATGCTGATCCATGATCTCAGGGGAGCAGTGGCCACTCATCCAACTTGGCCTCGAGAAAACTCAGAGCATCATCACTCCTCCCAAGCAAACCCCTTTCCCGGATGCAAGACCACCTCATATGGGAGGGGCCAAGGACTCACCAAAACTCTGCCAGTCAGTGTCTGGGCAGATATCATCACCCCTGCCCAGTCCTTCACGGAAGTCATCCAGCCGACCTCGGCTGCCACCACCTCCTCTTTTTCATCCACTGGTTTGAGGGTACCATCTGCCTGGCTGGAGCCATTATTTATCTTCTGGGCCTCCTGGCAACAGAGAGAATCAGAGTTGAGTCAAAAGGAAACAACCAGATTTAAATAAGATGCCCACCTATACAGAATCAGAACCCCAGGTGAGGGAATGTGGCTTAAAGATAGAGGTTGAGGAGGAGAGATGGTTAAGGATTTTATTTTCTTTAGTTTGGTTTAGAAAAAAAAAAACCTGTGGAGGTTGCTTAATGGCTAAAGCACTTTCCGTGCAGCTGGGGGATGTGAGTTTAAATCCCTCAAACCTATGTAAAAGCCGGGCACAGCAGAGCACATCTGTGACTCCAACACTCTTACAATCTTGCAAGGTGGAGACAGGAAGAGCTCCAGAAACACATGACACACGGGTCAACCAGCCTGGCAGCAGACACAATAGAGACCAGCAAAAGAGGCGTCCTGTCTCAAACAAGGTGGGCAGACAGGACTGGCACCCAAGGAGGCCCTCTGACCCCCACGGGCACACTCTGGCACACAAAGGATCCTTTTTGAAATTTCCTTTTAGAATACTCTTGGAACAGGAAGAATGCTGGCATTTTTCTCTGACCACTTTAAAGGCAAAGCAACAAACCTGCCCCTGGTCACAGAGGGTTAAATTTAGAGGGGGGTGCAGTCAGCACAAAATTGTCTCTGCACAAGTCATTATACCTTCATAGTGCCAACCCCATTTCTCTTTACCAATTTCCCATCTTTTCTCCTGTCTATGCCATTCAAGAGGGACTCATGATGGACCCACAATGGTTCTAGCAATACAGACTGTTGGATCGGGCATTTGGGCAAGACCCCTGGCAAGACCCACTTGGGCCAGGGATAGGCAGATGATCTCTGTCAAGGCAATATGGTGCAAGCAAGGTACATTTGCTGAAACAGGTAGGGGAAGGGATCCATCCCTGAAAAGGAAGACAGCATGGAGGAAAGATGCGATGGACTACCAATGTCTGCATCTGAATGCCTGGGTCCAGCTGTGCCTACAGTTCAGATTCCTGAGTTACAAGAGATAATAAATTCCCTCTTTAGAACTTGAAATATGCTTAAAGAAAGAAGGCCTCAGATATCCAAACCCAGGCTTTGCACACAATGTGTCCTGAGGCCAGGATGCTCCCATCCTGGCCTCTGTCTCCTTAGATTTTCACTCATACACTCCCCACTTCCCAATAAAGTCTTTCTCACTATTCTCTGAAAACGTCATGCCAACTGCTTTGCTTTATTGTTTCCCATAACAATAATATACTCTATAATTCACTTACTTATTTCATTTACCACTCCTAATCCAACACTGCTGTCAGCTCCTATACCTAACACGGTCTTAAGCACAAAGCTAGCACAATAAACATTGATGAAGCTAGGCATGGCGGTACACACCTATAATCTCAGGAGGCCTAGGCAAGAGGATTGTTCACAAGTTAAAAACCAGCCTGGGCCACAGAGTCCAAGCACACAAACCAAAAACTACAACAAAAAAGCAATCGAAACTTTGAATGAATGGATACAAAGAAATCTGAGATCTGTTCATTGTCACCTCCAGAGCCTGGGTTTCGGATACCAGAGGAAATATAGGCTTCTCAGCCCAATTTGAATTTTAGATAAGCAAATACCTTTATAAATATGTCCAAAAATGCATGGCTTTTACATACAATAAAGGCTCATCATTCATCTAAATCAAATTTAACTAGACCCATGCTCAAACACCCGCTGAGATTATTAGTGCGGATGGAGATAGAAAAATATGTCAGTAAATTATACTCACCATTTATAATCCTGGTATCAATTTACAAAGAGAAAAACACTGGGGATCATTGTGTTTTGGCCTAAAGTGAGACTGGGAAGTGGGAATGCAATCAGAGGTGGGAACCTCCTGCAAGGAGAAGGGTGGGCCCAGTGAGAACAGGGAAGCAGGAAAAGTGGGTTTGCAGAGGTTCCCGATGTCTGCTCCTCTCTCACTGGCCAACCCTGGCTCAGATAGAATAGGGTTGAGAAGCTGGGCTGTAGGACTGAATGCCCATGGTATTTTACTCCCCAGTGTTTGAAGCTGCAGGAGCTGGAACACCCACAGTGGGAGCCTGGGAGGGGGAGGCCTCAGACCATCTGCTGACTTGTGTAGTATCTGCCTCTCAAACCTACTAGGCTAGTCTCATTGGCCTGCTAGCTCTGGTCCTGGGGCTGAGATCCAGGAAGATAGGATGTGATCCTTGGCAGCCATGGTAACCAAGGTGCATATTTAAAACTGAAATCTAGCCCTGTCTCAACTTCAGGGACTACCCAGTGAGATGGGGGAAAACAGTGTTTGCTCTGTGGAACTACACGATGCCCAATGGCACGTAGCAGACTCGGTTACTAAGTCCAGAAGGCCTACCCCTGCCTCATTGGACACTCACTCTGAATGTGGTGGTTCAGTCTTGAGTCAGCACCAACATCAAAGCACAAGGTACACTAAGTTACTCAGGGTGTCAGATCCACTCTAGAAACCGCAGTTTTACCTGGTGGTCAACACCTGAGGTCAACCTAGGGAACCATAGGCCTTGTCCATCCAAAACAGACCACAGACCTTAACTCCAGCACACCTGCTACTTTCAGAACTGACCCGTGAATGGTGAGGGCTGAGAGGAAGATGGACTTTCAAACCAGCATTCTTGTGTTGGCTTCTATTTGGCTGTTTTTGAGACAGGGTCTTGAGTAGCTTCAAGTGCCTCAAACTAGATCTGTAGACAAGGATGACCTTGAACTTCCAAGCTCCTGAGATTAGAGGCGTACACTACCACTTCCAGTTCATGGCAGACTAGAAATCAAACTCAGGACTTAGAGCACTCCAGGCAAGCACACTACCAACGGTGCTACACATAACAGCAGACAACTGGGCTCTGGCCACCAGGAGGCCCAATTGCCTGCTGCTTGAGCCTGCTGCCTCACAGGGCAGACACTTTTCAGCATGGAAAAGGCCCAGAGGCAGGAGTTCCCTGCAGCCCCCATGGTTTTAATGCATCTATAATTCACAGCGTAAGAGGTACACAGTGCATAGTATGCTATTCCTCCAACCCTCTTACCTATTGTTTTACAAGGCATTCATTATTTTAATTGCTTTATGATAGGCAGGGAAAAACACAAACTAACGGAGATAATGCCCTTGTTATTATTTGCTTATACTAGATGTTGTGAGCTTAATTACCACGTGTGGGAGGCAGGACTGGGGGAGGGGCCACAGAAACAGGGAGCTACATCAAGCCCTGTGCCAGCCTGCCAGGTTAGCTAGGGTTTCTGTGCCTGAAAGGCAAAGACCTGCAACCCTCTACTAATGTTACGCCGGAGGAAAGTGGGTGGGACCTGGAGGGCTAAGGGGCCCCGTTGAAGGCATGCAAGAGGTAAGGGGTGTTCAGTTAGAGCTTATTAGAGCAGCAGGGGTCTCCATCTATGGAGCCAGAATTGGATTTCAGCAGCTAGAACATAAAAGTTTTCCATGCTTTCTTCCGCAGATCAGTGGGATTTCACAGGCCTTTTTAAAACTCCAGTAACTGAGAGCTGTCACCTGGGACAGCAGAGAGCCCACTAGGACTTGGGTGCCCTCTACTCCCATGGGTCACGTTCATAACTCCTCTGTGCGAAGCAAGGAGACGCGCCCATCTCTGGGAAGGTGTGAGGCATAGTGGTTCATGCGGTGCTCGGTTCAAACCACAAATGCCACAGCCACCTCCGGTGCCGTTTCAGCCTCTGGGCCCTGGAAAGGCCACCGCTCCAACATGAGCCTCCATGAGTGACAAGAGAACAGAAAACAGGTGACTTCTGCATGACAGTACCCCCTGGCTGGGCAACTGGCTCTCGGGACCAGGCGCTTCTACTGCTGCCTGGGTCCAGCAAGACGGTGGGACTCCGTCCATGACAGTCAGGGAGGAACTCCCATACTAGGGGGGTCAGACCAAGTGTTCTCTTAGATGCACCCTGACCTCCAGCTCCATTACATCAACTGCTCCCTTCCAAGGAGGAGGGACAGGCCAGAGTGAGGCAGTTTCTGGGTCACAGGACTTCATTCTTTTTTCTGCATTCCACGGCACAGTGCCTCAGAGGCGAGATGCAGTTCCTGAATGGCAAAGCTCCTGCCCAGCTAACCCAGACTTCCCACTCTCCTACAGAGGATTCGAACACTCTCCAGAAAGGGTGAACTTGGTGTTGGACAGAAAATCACCTTATGACCCTCTCCCTGACCCCCAAGGGAGACAGTCTCTACAGACTTCTGACTACACGGCCACAGTCTCAGGGGGACCGGACAAAATGCACAGACATAGAGGGAAAGATGTTTAGGGGAGGAGAAAGGGACACGCGAAAGAGACGGAGAAACAAATTCCAAGTCTCCACTCTGGGAGGACTCCCGAATAAAGAGGCACACATCCCTATCTATCCCTGATCCTGCCTGTGCCCCTTGGCCAGGCACAACTGTATGCTGGGCTTGCATCTGGCCTTGGTGATAGAGTCTATGTTTAGAGAAAGTTCCTGAGTCAGGCAGTAGGCATAGGAAGCTGGAGGACACTGGAGAGCAGAACACACTCAGTACCCGCCTCCCACCACCACCACACACCCTACTGGCCCTTTCCTACCTTCTCTTTATTCCTTTTCGTCCTGTTCCCACCATGACATCACCTGTGGCCAATGGCCTGATTGGACCCCAGTCACTGGTAGTCAGCATACAGACCATTTGTTGGGAATTTGAGAATTGCTACCAAACAGCAATGCAACTTAAGAATACACCTCAGAATGTTAAGAATAGAAGCCAGACTCACAAAAACAAATACTATATTTTCTCTCATGTATGAGATCTAGATTTGAATACACACAAACACACACACACACACACACGACATGAAAGGAGAAGGACAATTTGAGGGGAAGAAGGGAACCAGTATGAAGGGGAAATGGGGAAGAAGCCTATGTACAAATACATAAATGGTGGAACCTATTGCTTTTGTATGCTAATTTTTGTAAAGAAACACTAAAAAAGAAAGGGGCTTGGCAACTTC